ATTACCATTATTGTTATTGTTATTGTTTATTTTTATTATCAATATTATTTATTATTTTATTATTTTATTATTATTTTATTAATTTGTTTACTTGTTTAAAAACCACAACCCCCTTTATATATGAAAAAAAAAATATTTTTTATCATTCAGAGTTTTGTTATATCTGTTGTTTATATATTTATTAAAATAAAGAAAATGAAACCATTAAATTCTTTTAAAACATATGTAATTAGTAATACCATTAAAATGTTCTATTCATTAAAGTTTATGATATATCGCTATTTAATTTCGAGCCGAGCATATGTTTGTAAACACTTTTTTATAAACTTTTTTACAACCCTTTCGACCAGCTGGGTTCAGACTAACCGAATTAATATATGGCTATCATTATTATCCCTAGCATTAGCATTCCAATGTCACAATCTAATCTATTTGGTAAATTCCTATGTTGATTATATAAATAAAGTGGATGATAGACTAAAATCAAAGGACAGGACTCTATTTGACTACATCGATATCAACACCTTGCTAGATTACATTAAGCACACACTTTTATCAATATTTTGCATTTTAATGGTAGTTTGCTATTTCTATCAATGGAGCACTTCAAAAGTGATTATACAATTTGTTGTATTTCAACTAATTTGCGCTTCAACTTATACACACGGAAAATATATCGGAGTAGGACAATTGATTTTTGGTGTTTTTCATTGGTCATTCATGTCACTATACTACTTTAGTGCCACTGGAAACCTTGTAATCTGCAACTCTAAAGAACCCATCACCTATTATTCAATCTCTGTTTCAATTGCTATTCTTCAAGCTTTGCATGGAAACTATCACCGTGACTTCGAAACCGATAGTAAAGCAAACATAAAAACCCTTGCTATTTTATTGGGCAAAGAAAACTCTTTATATTTTTATACTGGTGTGTTCATTACGTATGTATTATTATTAATATTAATATTATTATAATAAAGTAAATATTTATTTGATTTTTAACCATTTTTTTAAATTAAATAGATATTGCTTATATAGTATTGTATTAATAAATCGTTTAAAAAATCCATTATTTATTTCGTTATTAGGTGAATATTATTTTATAAGGATGGCAACAATAATGGTTATTTTTTAAATATTAATTTTTTTTTATTTTTTTTTTTTTTTTATTAAACCTAGTTATTCTCCCTAGAATGTGTGACTTAATAGTTAGAGCTTCCTATGGTGAAACACAAATGCTAAATATGAAGACCATAAGAATATACTATCTATCTTATTATTTAATGATTATATCCATTTTGTTGGGTGGCAAAAAAGTTATTATTTAAATAATAGTATAAAAAAAAAAACAATGTAAATAAATAAAAAATAAATAAATAAATAAATAAATAAATAAATAAATAAATAAATAATAAATAAATAAATAATAAATAAATTAAATAAATCAATAAAAACTTACATTTAAAATAAAATTAAAATTAAATAAATATTTAGATTTATTAAATAATTTTTTTTATTAATTATAATAAATGATGATGTTTTAACGATGTATTTTTTATGCTTTCTTTATTTTTTTAAAAATTATTATTGGTATATCATATCATTTTATTTTTTATACTTTAGGGGGTAGTTTCTATTTTAATCGTTAGTTCTATATTTAATAAAATTAAAAGAAATTAATTAAAAAAAAAAATAAAAAATATTTCAAAAAAAAAAAAAATTAAAATTTTTGATTTTTGGATTTTTTTTTTTTTATTATTTTATATTTTAAAAACAAATAACACTAGATTACAACTTTTTTAATAAATAATAGTATTGTTTTATATAAAATAATAAATACTTTTATCATTTATTTGTAAGTATTCAAATTTGTAATCAGAAACAACACGCACACACACATACACACACACTCATATATACCCCCTTTGATATTAATTTTAGTTGATTATTTTAAACTTAGTTTTGTTTAAAAATAAAAGAGTAATAGATATATAGATATCTACATCACTTAAAATAATAAAATGAAAGCAGGAAATAATGTTGGGAATATTGTTACTATCAACAACAATAACAACAATGCGTCACAAGGTAAAAAAGAATCTTATTTTTCAGAAATTAAAAAAAGCGAAATAGGTTTATTAAAAATGAATTTATCAAATGCTGTAAACGAAAGAGATGCCGAAAAAATTAAAGAAATCTTACAAAGAATTATTTATTTTATGACCATTGGTATGGATGTCTCTGCATTATTCCCTGATGTAATTATGGTGGGAAGTAGTAATAATATAGTTATAAAGAAATTGGTTTATCTTTATATTGTTCACTATTCAAAAAGCAATCCAGATTTATTATTACTTGTTATTAATACAATTAGAGTATGTATTTTATTTAAACAAAACTATAACTATTAAAAAATCAAAAATTCTAATAATATTTTTATATTAGAGGGATTGTACAGATAGAAACCCGATTATCAGGGGTTTAGCACTTAGAAGCTTATGCTCACTAGAGTAATTATTTCATATTTAATAAAAATATATTTATGTATAAATATATACTAATTTTTATTTAGCTCTGAAACCATTTTAGAATATGCAAATGTTGAAATTGGTAAACATTTAACCGATTTCTCAGGCTATGTTAGAAAAACAGCATTATTGGGTTTAGCAAAACTTTATCACCTTTCACCAAAAAGCTTTGATTTAGATACATTTATTCCAAGTATTTATGGTATGATTATGGATCAAGATCCTCAAGTTATTGTAAATGCTATATCTGCATTGAATGAAATTAGACCAGGTTGGACATTCACTTTCGACTTAGTGCAACATCTAATGAGCAAATTTAAAGAATTTAATGAATGGTCTCAATGCATTATTTTAGATTGTTTATCAAGATACAAGCCATCAAACGAAGAAGAAGGTTTAGAAATTTTAGTAATTATTATACCATATAAATATCAATATAATAATATAATCAATATATTAATTTTTTATTTATTTATAGAATTTATTAGATGATAGATTAAGTCATTCAAATAGTGCAGTAACATTATCAACAATTAAAATATTTTTAAAATACACAGATGATTTAGAAGAAATTCAAGAACAAGTTTATGAAAGAATTAAAGAACCTTTAATTACATTAATGGAAAACTCTGAATCAAACGAAACATCCTATACAATTTTAAATCATATTTATCTTTTAATGAGCAGATCACCAAAACTATTCAACAAATACTATAAGCAATTCTATTGTAAATACAACGACCCAATGTACATAAAAACCTTAAAAGTTAAAGTATTGCAAGAGATAGCTGCCAATCAAACCTACATTGAAGCCATTGACGAAATTGTAACAGAACTCAGCGAATACCTCCATGAAGATCACTCATTGTGTAAACAAGCAATGAATGCAATTACAGATATAGCCCAAAAGCATAAAAAGAACCAAGAGAAATATCCAATTGACAAGCACATTTTAGAAAGAATCTTTTTACCATTCTTAAAAACCACAATCGATACAAGTGGTGGTGATGGGGTCGGTGATCATTCTGGATTTATAAATGAAACTATTTTATCGTATAGTTTAATTTGTTTAAAGGATTTCCTTAGAGTTTACCCAAAACATCTCAACAATGTCTTGCCATATATCACATCAAGTTTACTTCAATATACACTTCCTCCACAAGCCAACGAATCAATTCTTTGGATGCTTGGTGAAGAACCAAATGTGCAAGAGGACACACCATACATTATTGAAGAATTCTTTAAAGACCACTTTGATCAGCAACCAACTTTTATTAAAATTCAGCTTTTAACCACATCTTTAAAAGTATTTTTTGAAAGACCAGGAGAAATGTTACCAATTATTAGAGATATTATTACAAAATGCTCAAATCTTTCTCAAGACCCAGATCTTCATGAAATCTCTTTATTTTATAGTCGTATATTATTATTAGACGTAGAAAAAGCCTCATCCATTATAAACGCCTCAAAAAATCAACCAATCAATTCATTTTTAGAAGATGAAACAAACGAATATCGTGATAAAATTTTTGATGAATTTAATACTCTTTCTGTATTATATTGTAAACCATCCTTAATTTTTATTAAAAGTAAAGAAGAAGTTGAAAATGAAAAAAATCAAATTATAGAAAATCAAAAAAATTATTTATTATCAATTACAAACGGCAATAATAATAATAATAATAACAACAATAATAATAATAACAATCAACAATCAACAACAAATAATAGCGATAGTAAATCAATTATTAAACAAATTGAATCCTCACCTTCAAACTTAATTGTATGTATTAAATTTATTTATAAAAAAAAAAAAAATTTATTAATAATTATTATTTTTTTAGGATACATTTATGTTAGAACAAAGACCAGAATTATCACCAGACGAATTCCAATCATTATGGCTCTCATTAGAAGATGGCCATAATTTCGATATTCAATTAGATAGATTTATTGATAACAGCGAGATCGAATCAGTAATGTCAAAAGAAGGTATATTATGTTTAGCTTTTGGTAGTGTTAATGATCAAACAAAACTTTATTACTATGCACGTCAAAATATAGTAGATGACCCATTACAAGAACAAAATCAAACTAATGGCACACCAGTATTCATTATAGAAATCATAATTGATGAAAAGTCATTGCTAATGAGCATACTATTTAAATCACCTCTATTAAAAACTTTACACACCAAATTCATTCCTAAATTCCTTTCACTCTTATCAATCCCGATTCCAAAAATTTTTAATTAATAAAAAATATTAAAATAAATTTTTTTAAAATAAAAACAAACTAATAATTTATATTTATTAATTTTATATTTTACAATTTTATTATATTTGTTTTTTTTTTTTTTTTTTTTTTTTTTAGTCTATATTTATTTGAATATGGGGGTCTTGGTCTAAACTATTGTTAATTATATTATCACTTTTTATTGAAAATTTGTCATCACCATCTTGAAATATATTTTCTTCAATACTAACTAATTGATGGCCATCTAAACTTTGATTATCGCAGAGAGATTCCTCTTCATCAGGGTTATTGTCTGGATATTTAAATATTTTAAATGTTAAATAAGTCCCTCCTATTAAAACAAATAGAGCTAATCCGAGTATAATAGGTAATAAAAAAACTAAGGGATTTTCATCATTTGATTCTTTTCTTACAATAGTTTCTTGAGTGTTTTCTTGCATAATTTAATTAATTTGATATTAATAATATAATATATTAAAAATAATATATATTAAAAATAAAATATATTAAAAATGATTAAAAAAATAAAATAAAAAAAAAATACCCTTTTAAAAGTTAATTTTTTTTTAATTTTTTTTTGTTTGATATTTTTTTATAATTTTAAGGTTTTAAAAAAATTACATTTTTTATTTGGGGGGGTGATTGATTTTTTAAAAAATAGAGATTTAGAAATTCACAGAAAATATTTTAATTTTAAGGAATTTCTTCCGATATCAATAAAATTTCTTTTTCTTGAATAATTTGAAACATTATTCATTTTTTGTAAAAAAAAATAAAAAAAATATCATATGAATATTAAACAAATAAATAATAATTTTTTATCTAATTTTATTTGATAAATAAAACATTTGTTTTTATACACAAAAATTTGAATGTTTTTTAAAAGGTATTTATAGAACGCCCAGTGCACGAAGATAGGTTTTTGAAAATTTAAAAAAAAAAAAAAACTATTGTCGACACCATGATTTCCCATGGCGAAAAACTATTATTTATTTATAATTATTTATTTTCATTTTTTTTTATTTTTTTTTTTTATTTTCATCAAAAAAAAAAAAAAAAATAAAAGCCTCGAAAAAAATTTTTTTATTTTTTTTTTTTTTACACAAAACAAAATTATTTTTACAACTAAATATAAATTTTAAATAAAGAAAAAATATAAAAGTTACTCTGTTCGAAAGTTTAATTTTTTATATATTTACAATTTTTAATTATTAATATTCAATTTAATACACTTTGACTTTAATTTTCATAATAGTTTTAAATAACTCCGAGATTAAATTCAATTTTTTAAACATTATATTAATATCTCGAATTACAAATATATAACATAAAATATAAAACTTTTCATTATAATAAGAAAAACATCAATTTTTTTTTTTTTAAATCATATTTAAATAATAAAAATAAATCAAATAACAATCTTTAATTTATAAATAATATCATTTCTATAAATAATTTTAATAACAAAACTCAACAAAATGGAAGGAAAAAGAATTTTAGTCACTGGTGCCGGTCAAGGTATTGGTAGAGCAATCTGTTTAGAATTAGCCTCAAAGGGTGCCAAAGTTGCTCTTGCTGATATTAACGTCGAAAACTGTAACGAAACTATCGAATTAATGAAAAAAGTCAGTGCCACTGTTGAAACTGTTGCCATTAAATGTGATATCTCAAAGACTGAAGATGTTGTTGCTATGGTCCAAACTGTTGCTGAAAAATTAGGTGGTATCGATGGTGCTGTTAACAATGCTGGTATTTTAGGTACCTTAGCTAGAATCAGTGAATACCCAGAAGAAACCTTCACTAAAATGATGGATATTAACATCAAAGGTACCTGGTTATGTATCAAAGAAGTAGTCAAACAAATGGAAAAACAAGGCAAAGGTGACTACAGTATCGTCAACATCAGTTCCATTGCTGGTTTACTTGGTTTTGCTTACAATGCATCCTATGGTGCTGTTAAACACGCTATCTTAGGTATCACCAAAGCTGCTGCTGCTGAATACGGTGTCAATGGTATCAGAGTCAATGCCGTTCTTCCAGGTAGTACCGAAACTTCAATGTTACGTCAATTCTTACCAGCTGAACATCAACCACATTTAGAAGCTCAAACTCCTTTACGTAGAATCTGCCAACCAGTTGAAATTGCTAAACCAGTTTGTTTCTTATTAAACGGTACCGAATCATCATACATTACCGGTCAATCATTAGTTGTTGATGGTGGTCTCTCAATCGTTTAAAAAAAAACACTCAACAATCATAAAAAAAAAATTAATATAAATAGAAAAGAATTATTATATTTTTTTCTATTAATAAAATTTAATTTATTTTTTAAATTAATTATTTATTATAAAATCAATTATGATTTTATAATTTATAATTAGTTCACTCAACACAAAAATTCTCTTTTTAAAATTATTTTTCTTTTATTTTTTTTAGACTTTAACTAGTTTTTATTATTTTTTATAATCAAACATTTATTATTTTTTAATAGTAAAATTTTATTGTTAAAAAGAAAAACGCATATATAGTTAAACTTTAATGATAAAACAATATTTTATTTTAATTCTTATTTATTTTTTCTAAAAAATGTATAATCTTTATTAATTTAAAATTCTTCTTTGATACTGCATGTATTGGAGCTACTTTATGGATAGTTTGATAGAATCTATTGCTATTATAGAGACCAAGAGTTTATTGATAATGTTATAATATCACATGGATAGATGATTCTTAATTTATTTATATATATTTCAATAATCATTTGATAGAATACCCTCTTAACTACAATAATGTGGGTTGTAGCGTCAATGTTGATGTTGAACCACAAACTTGAACTTGATTGATAATGTTTAATTTACCTAATACCGATGAATTTAAATACACAGTGCTTAGTTTGAGGATCCATTATTTGGTTCTAATAATCACGGAGAGAACCTCTATATGGACAGTTTCAGTACTTCTGATATGTTTTAATTGAAATGACGCTTCATTAAAGAAACTTGATCTTCAATCAGATACTAATATCTCTGGGAACCATATTTTAAATATTTTTGATAAACCATTGGGACTGAAAGGACAATTATTTCTTTATAAAACTATTTAGTTATATCGCATTTGCCTGGCCAGGACAAAATAGATATTCTTTAAATAGATGATTATTTTGAAATATTTGAACTTTGTTATAATATATAATATTGTAGCTAATGATTATTATTATTTTGATTTTATATTTGATGTTATTACTTCTATAGGTTAATCAATCTGATGGAGCTGACTGTTCGGTATTTAGGAATATTTAAAGTTCTGAAATAATTTGATCTAACTTAGGACGTAAGTATATAGCCAGAATACACAATTTTGATAATACTTTCTTTAAAAACTTGGTATACAAAGTTTAATTAATTTGGCAAATTCAACATTAAACTAACTTTCTCAATTGTTTGCAAAAGTTTTATGTTTCATCTTATAAACATAACCCCCATAGTCTATAAGAACGGAATTCGTTGAGTTTGAACATAAAATTGCACTTGACTAATATTTGATAGTAACTTGATTTGAGTTTTTCATTAGCTGATTTGCTTGATTTTAAAAGATTTGAAAGAGAAGAATTATATTTAATTGTAATTGACTGGCTTGGGTACAAATAGACTATTATCACTTGTTGATAGATTTTTATAGACTATAATAAATACTATAAATCTGTTTTAATCGGTTCATGTGGCTTTCGGTAAACTTATACTAATTCTTTATTGAAGCTAGCAGACCCTGAAGGATAACTTGATAATTGGATACAGATTGTTATACCTATTTTTTAATAAATTAATAAAGATTAAATTGTTAATATTAGTATTTTCAGATTCCTAATTTCATCATTATATATTTAAATATTGGGTTTGTATATTAATGTGCAAATACTTACTATGTGAAAAAACTATAAGTGTGGTTATTGAAAAAGTATAAAATTTAAATGAAAAAAAAATTATTTTAGGTGTGGTTATTGAGAAAAAAAAATGAGTTGGCTATTTTGAAATGGCATTGAGTTTAGTTGAAAATGTTGTAAATTGTTTTGACCCTCTTTGATTTTATACACTACATACAATGATTAATAAAATGGAACCCATTCTCCACTTACTTCATCATACTCCTCTACACATGGTGGTTCTCCATTGGAATTTGCACCATTACATTGTGATTCTGGATAATATTGTGATTGTGGTGCACCAGAAAAAGAATGACGCGACTCATTTTGGTTAAAAGATGGATAGTCGGATGATTCTCTTTTATGAATATAACCAGATTCTGGAGAGTTGGATGGTTTTTGTGCATCGGAAAATGAATAACGAGCTTCATTTTTGTTGAAATTTGGGTAGTTAGATGCTTCCCTTTTATAAGTATGATTTGGCTCATTTTGATAATCTGGTGGAGAAGTTGCTGATTCTGGAGGAGCATGTGGTGATTGTTCTTTTTTTACAGAATGACGAGATTCTTTTTGATTAAAAGTTGGGTAGACTGATGGTTCACTTTTATGTCCATGATCTGTTTCTGTATAATTTGATGATTGTGGTTCATCAGAAAAAGAATGGCGTGCTTCGCTTTTATTGAAGGTTGGGTAATTGGATGGTTCTCTTTCTGATACTGGGCGATCATATGGAATTTGTTCATAATATGGTGTATTTGATTGATAGTTGCCATTTCCATTGTTGTGGTTGATGCCATTATTGTAGTTGTTGTTGCCATTTTTGTTGTTGAAATAGTATTTAATTAAAACCATACCAAATAAGAAGGAAAAAACTATTGTGATAATGGTTTCACAAAATAAAACAACATAGTGGTTCATTTTTTTAAAGGTGGTTTGTTTAAAGTAGATATTGAAATTATTATTTAGTGGAGGTGTTATTTATTTAATGTATATAAAAAATTATAGCTATTATTAATTATTATTATTATTGACTATTTTAATAAAAAAATAAATGAATATAATTATTTGTATTTATAAAACGAAAATGAAATGAAAAAAATATAATTTTCCCCCACATCCACAAAAAAATAAAAAATAAAAAATTTTTTAATTAAAAAAAAAGAAAAAATTTTTTTTTATAAAATAAAAAAAAATGGGGTTCTGTTTTTATTTAAAAAAAAGAAATTTCAAATTTTCTACCAAAAAAATAAAAGATGAGTCACATCATTATTAAAAAGTTATAATGATAGTTTTTGATTTATATAGCCACTTTTGATTTTATAATAATAGTTTTTATTACTTTACCTTATTTATATTCCACTTTTAGGAACATATACTAATTATATTTTTTTTAATTTTAATAACCATTCATTATTATATTTGGGTGATAAAAATAAAAATAAAAAAAATATAATATAAAATTAAAAAAAATAAAAAAAAAATAAAAAAAATAATTTTTAGCAAATTTTCATATTTTTAATTATTTACATCAAATCAAAAAATAATTATGAAAAAAAGATATTGAATTTTATTTATTTAATATTCCCTAAAAAGAAAACTAAATGTATATTTGTTAATTTAAATATTTATTTAAGAAAAACTCATTGATAAATTAATTAAAAAAAAATAAATTTATTTTATTAAATTTAAAAGATAATTTAAATTAAAGATCTTTATTTTGAACATGAATTGAAAATTAAATTAACTAGGGATGGAGAATTTTTAATTCTATATAATAATAATAAATGATAATTGATGATGAAGGTAGACCTGGATCTGTAACCAAATGACATAAATTTGTACTTAATAAAACGGATGAAAGTGTAACTCGTTTTTGTTGAATATATTTAATACATAAATGATGATAGAATAAACCCATTGTTGAAAATAAACTTTATTGGAAAGAATGAAATTGATTCTGAGTAAATAGATTTTAGATTTGAATTTTCGAATTGATTAACTTTGATTTTGATTTGGAAAGCAGAATGAATCGATGAATGAATAGAGTTGGATGGATTACTTTTCTTGTTTTTATATAACATGATTATTTTAATAATTATTATTTTTTATACTCTATTATTGTTATTATTATTATTGTTTTCATTATTATTATTATTACTATTACTATTATTTATATTTTTATTTTTTTTATTTTCATTATCATCATTATTATTTATATTAATATTCGAGTTTTGAAATAGAAAGAATTCGAATTAATTAAATATAATAATAACTATATATATATTTACATTATAATTACCTTTATAGTACAAATACCCCAATGAATGAATGACCTGAAAAAAAAGCAAATTAAAAAGAACAAACTAAACCCTAATGAATGATGAGTTACTTGAAAAAACCCCCAATGTTTGATAAATGACTTGAAAACCACACTTAGAATATACTGAACCCAATGTATGATGAATGACCTGAAAACCACATTTAAAAGAATATGCTGAACCCGATGTATGATGAATGCCTTGAAAACCACATTTAAAAGAATATACTGAACCCAATGTATGATGAATGACTTGAAAACCTCATTTAAAAGAATATGCTGAACCCAATGTATGATGAATGCCTTTAAAACCCCAATTTTAAAAGAATATACTGAACCCCAATGTATGATGAGTGACTTGAAAACCCCAAATAAAAAGAATATGCTGAACCCTGATGTATGATGAATGACTTGAAAACCGCAATTTTAAAAGAATATACTGAATCCCCGATGTATGATGAGTGACTTGAAAAAGAATTTATTTAATCCCCAATATTTGATGACTGACCTGAAAAAACCCCAGTGTTTGATGAACGACTCGAAACTTCAATTAGAAAGGATATACCGAACCATGATTTAATAGAATATATGGACCCCAATGTATGATTGATTACTTAAAATAAACAACGTATTGAAACTGAAAAAGAAAGAATAAACTTAAACTAAATAAGAATTAAAATTAGATATTAGTTTTTTTTATATTCAAATTTAATAATAATTATGTAAATATCACATATTAGTTACCTTAAAATAATGATCATACGAACGTAGACTTAAAATAGAGCGTGTTGAGCTTGAAAGAGAATTAAACTAAATTGAATTAAATGTTAGTTTATTTTATATTTAAATTTAATAAATGTAAATATAAACAATCGTTACCTTAATAATATATGCCTTATTCTTGACATTAAAGAAAGAATCAGATACCGAAAGAGAAAGAGATATAATTTTACTTTATATGAATTAAAATTAAATATTAGTTTCTTTTATATTTAAATATAATGGTTATGTAAGTATTAACACTATAGTTACCTTAATGATATAAATGCCTTATTCTTGACATTAAAGAGAGAACATGATAATATTGTGAGAAAAAGAACTATATAAGAATTAAATTTAAATATTAGTTTCTTTTATGTTTATATACAATAATTATGAAAATATTAATATTATAGTTACCTTAATTAAATAAATGCCCTATAATTGACATTAAAGAACTTGATAATACTGAAAGAGAATTAACTATAATTATACTATTTAAGAATTAAAATAAAATATTAGTTTCTTTTATATTCAAATTTTATAATATTTTAGTAAATAATAATATTATAGTTACAATAAGAGGAGAACTTGTAAATGGAAACCTTGAGAACTTATTGAACGTAGTTGTGTAAATTTGAAGCCAATGCGATGAAAATTTAATACTAGAAATGTTGATACTGATGAGAATGTTTGTCCCTTGATGATGTTTGCAGTTTTGACCTTTTTTGATTTAGTTTTTAATCCGTTTCCATATGAATAGTATATTATTGATCTATGTCCATGTAATCATTGAATTAGTGGCCAGCAAATTCTTGATCAATATCCATGAAATCTAATAATTCCTATTTGAAACGGTTATGGGAATCTAATCGATATCCATACGGTCATATATTTCCATCTCGACTTCTGAATCGTTGGAATTTGAAACATCATTATTTAATACTGGTGGACTTTGATTATTATTATTAGCAGCATTATCTTGATTATTAGCTGGATTTTCATCATGAGTACCTTGTTCTACATTAGCTTCATCTGTTGAACGGTCAACTTGATTAGCTCTCTACAATTAAATAATAAATTAAATTAATATATATGTTTTATTTATTATGTATAAATATGAATGTATGAATTACTTACTCTTACTAAAAAGAATGGAGCTCTGCAATTTGGACATATGTTATCACGACGATAACACCATTCCATAATACAATCGTAACAAAAATTGTGGTTACAATCGATAATTGCAAGTTGACTTGGTTCAATTCTCTCAATGCAAATAGTACATCGATCTTGGTTTTCTCTACGTTCAGCTTCCTCTCTTTCTTGTTGTTCTCTTTCTTGTTGTTCTCTCTCTTGTGCTTCTCTTTCTTCTCTTTCTTGTTGTTCTCTTTCTTGTTGTTCTCTTTGCTGCTGTTCTCTTAGTTGTTGTTCTTTTTCTCTTTCTTCTCTTTCTTCTCTTTCTCTTTGCAATCTGGCTCTTTCCCAAATTCTCTATACGTATCCTTTCTTCTCTTTCTAATCTTTCTCTTAATAATTCTTGGATACATTCTCTTTCTTTCTGCTCTCTTTCTTGTTGCTCTTTAATTAATCTTTCTCTTTCTAGAGCTTGTCTACGTTCATTTTCTTGTCTTTCTTTTTCTAAAGCCTCAATACGTTCTTTCTCTTGTCTTTCTTTTTCTAATTGCTCCATATGTTCCTTTTCTTGTTGTTCTTTCTCTTGTCTTTCTTTTTCTAATTGTTCCATATGCTCCTTTTCTTGTTGTTCTCTCTTTAATTTTTCGATACGTTCTTTCTCTTGATTTTCCTTTTCCAATCTTTCTTCTTCCATTCTTTCAATTTCCCAAGGCATTGGGTGTCTTACATCACAAAGACGTAAATTTGGGTTGAAGCCTTTGGAGTGATCGATTGGTATGTATGGATATGGATCGATTGGTTTTTTTGGGGTATACATCTTATCAAGATAATATGATGGGGAACGAGATAAAATCTCTTTGGATAATGGATGACCATATATATCTTGATCAGTTAAGGAGTAATCTTCTGAGTTGGAACAACAAAACATTCTACTGGGTGATGAGGAACTATGGCATGATGGGGAACTGGAATTCATATTTTGGCTTGATGGGGATTGATCGATTGGGACAGAATATCTGGATTGGCTATTTTTGTGGTAGTTGGTTTGGGTTTCATTATTGGCATGGGTTTCATTATTGGCATGGGTTTCATTATTGGCATGAGTTTCATTATTGGCATGGGTTTCATTATTGGTGTGTGTGTCATTATTGGTGTGTGTGTCATTATTGATGTGGGTTTCATTATTGGTGTGGGTTTTTTGTGGGGTTAAACTGAAAATTAATTTTAAAATTATTAATGACCAAATTAAAATAGCAAATAAAATTGATTCTAGCATTTTTTTTAATTAATGAGTGAATATAAAAAAAATGAAAGTTATTATTGATTGTGAAATATAATTGCTATTATTTAAAACTTTTTTTTTAATATTTTATGCTATGTGAAACTATATACAAATTTTTATTTTTTATTTAATGAAAAAAAGAATTTTTTTTTTTTTTTAATTAAAAAATATATTTTTTTGTGTGGGTCAATAAAAACAAAAAAAAATTTTAAAAAAAATATTATATTAACTTTATATAAAACAATGTTTATTTTATTATAAATTTTTTAAAAATTGGGGTTTTTTTTTTTTTTTTTTTTTTTTTAAAAAATTGAATTATATCATGTTTTATATATATCATTGCGATGTGTCATATATATTATCAATTTTGTTATAATTATAATACTATAAAAAAAGTATTTATGAACCTCAACCCCCTTATTTACAAGAGGTTTTTTTTTTTTTTTTTTTTTTTTTTTTTTTATAATATATAATGACAATCAAATAACAAATAGAAATTGAATAAATTATTTAATAAATTAAAAAAAAAATTTTCCTTGTATCTTTATTTTTAAATTTATGTTCTAACTTGGTTTGCTCAATTGGCAACATAATCAACAAAAACAAAAAATAACAACACAATAATAACAATAACAATATAAATAATTATAATAATAATAATAGTTAAATTTTAGATAGTATCCTATGAAAATATTTTCACAATAAGATTATGTTAGTATAACGATATTTTTGGAGAATTAACATTAAATATATAGTTTATTATTATATGATCAAATTAATTTACCTTAGAACAATTAGATTTATATTTAACATGGGGATTTGGTGAAAATATTTAAATTATCAATAATTTGATTCTCTCTTTACAAAAAACATATGTTCCCGTTGAAGCCAAAATCAATAGTGGCCACCATGGTTTCAAAAATTATTATCAAGGGATGGTTCGACCCAGAAATTACCCGAGGAAAAAATCAGATAAATTAATAAAAAAAGGATCAAAAAAAAAAAAAAATAAAAATATTAAAAAAAAAAAAAAAAAAAAAAAATTAAATACAGAATTATTAATACTCTTCATAAATAAGGAAATAATAAAAATAAAACTAAATTTTAAATAAAATAATATAAAATCAACTCAAAATAAAAGAATTCTTTATAATATAATACAATTTAATAAATAATACAATTTATAAATTGTTTTTAAATAACTTTTTATTGTTTTTCTTTTTTTCTTTTTTTAAATATACATTATAATCATATGAGATATTATTTTGATCATTTTTATCAACAATTAATCCATTATCATAGTTATCAATGCTTCTTTTGTAACTCTATTTGTTTGAAAACTGAGAAAACCATGCAACCCTTATTCTCAGTTTTCAAACAAATAGAGTTTCAAAATATGATGAACATTTGGATTTAAATTTTCCCCTTTGGTTTATAATAGTTTAATTCTTGAAAGGGGGACTGGAACTTGAAAGCATGTTGGATCGTAATCTGGACTTTGTGAATCATCTGAACATGCAATTGTAAACTTTACTTTTGATCTTCCCTTTATATCGATAAATATATTAATTAAAGTTAAACTATCTTTAACACTGCTAACACCAAACATAATTTTATCGCCTTCATTAATCATACCATAACTTTTGTATTGACTGACCAACATTTGAATGAACCTTTTTTGAATTGTAACCTTTTCTTGACTATAATTGATGCTGATTAACCAACGACGTTTAAACATTTTGGTAAATTAGCTTCTATCCTCCTATTCACCAGATGCGAAGACAAATGTATAAAGTGGTAAAAACCTCCAACCATGGTTTGATACAAATTCTAAGGCTTGAACTAAGAAATCAATCTCTTTATGACATTGTAAAATAACATTTAATCGCCCATTCTTGGTCTAATAACTTCTTTCTTTTAAAATATTGTAATCTTTTTTAGATAAACCTAATAAGTGTTCTAAATAGGGCCTGCATATGCCCAGCTTCCTCTAGTTAATATATTAATTAATAAATTATAATATATAAAAAATTTAAGGTAATTTAAAAAAATATAAAATAAATATAAAATAAATTTAAATTCACATCCAAAATATCGAATATTTTTTTATTTTTATTTATTTTTAAAAAAAAAAATTTTATTTTTATTTTTTTTTTTTTTTTAATTTTTAATCATGATGATCAAAAACCCAACTATCACATTATATAAAGATGAATCAATTGACCAAATCTCACAATACAAAAAATAAATAGATAATACCCTGGATACCATTGCATCAGAACAAACAATATAAAAGAAACATTACAAAATAAAATTTATTCATTGCTATTTGAAAAAAAATTTTATTTTTTTATTTTTTATTTTTTTATTTTTCATTTTTTTTTTTTTTTAATTTTACAAAATTTGTGTTTAATTCACAATCATAAACTTATAATAATAATTGTAAAAAGAAATGGCAGACTATATATTAGATGATATAGAATATCAAGACTATACTGGAATAGAGGATTTACTTCGGGAATCAAAAAATGTTGAAACAAAAACATTAGATAAAGGAAATTTTTTTAGTAGTTATATTGTTAAAACACCAATATCAATAAAGATTGGAAAAAATTTTGAAGATTGTGACTTTGTTGGTATCCCATTTGTATCTTCACAGGTTCAGGAGATTATTAATAATTACACAATTACCAAAGTTAGTAAATATTCAGTTTTTTTATTTATAATTTAAATAATTTCTTATAATAATAATAATAATATTCTATCTTTATAGACAAACAATTAAAAAAGCAATATGAAGTAGTTGATAGCAAGGTTGCTATTAGTGATACGTGGATGTTAGAAATAGTAGAAAAAGTAAAAGAAGGTTTAGGTATTGATAGTAACGAAACCATTGATCATCAATTTAATAAAATGGTAATTTCAACAAGTGAAGAATGCACCATCGAGGAGTCAAATGACTATCAAGATATAAGTATCGATGATGAAGAAGATGAAGATCCCGAATTTAATAAAAATGACCATATTGCAACAGTTATTTTAACATTACCATCAAAGCATCAAGGAGGAGATATTGTTTTTAATAATCATTCGGGTACAAAGCGTGTCGTCAGTAAAACAGACTATGAATATACCACAGCACAAGAAATCAAATATTTGGCTTTATACACCGATTGCCCATATAATATCGAATCGATTGATTCTGGATACCATGTTTATTTGATTTATAAATTATATAAAACCAGTTCCAGAAAGTACTCTGCAAAATTTTTAGAAACAAGAAAAAAAAAATTAAGGGAAATATCTGTTAAATTAATGAAAGAAATTAGAAATGTCTTGGATCAAAAAGAAAATTTAGTATATTTATTGGAAGGTGTATATAAGTGTCCATTATTAATTCAACATTTAGCTGGTGAGGATAAAGAGGTTTTCTCCATATTACAATCAACATCAGTTTTACCAAATTCAAATTTTAAAATATTTTTTGGGCATTTAGAAATATTAAGAGAAGGTAGTTATGATGGTCAATACAGTTTTCATTTTACAATCAATTCACTTGTAGATTTCAACAATACCCCATTAGGAAAAGAAATTAATATTCAAGATTTCTCTGCTTTTTTACCAGTTGATAGTTTATTTAAACTCGAGCCATACAGTGTCAAAAAGAGGGGTATCCAACATGGAAGTGTTAAAATCAAATATTCAAAACAAGTTTTATTAATCTTAAAAAAATAAAAAATATAAAAAATATAAACAAAAAAGGGTTACATAATATATATAAATGTATAATTATTAGAAAAAATAAAAAAATAAAATTAATTAAAGTTTTGTATAATTTTTTATTAAAATGTATTTTATAATTTTTTTTTTTTATTCTGAAGGTAAAACATTTAAAACTATTTACCGTTTTACCATTTATGTAAAGGGGTTACAGTACTATTGTTATGATTTGCTTTTTCCTCTTTTTCTTTTCTTTCAAATTTCTCTTTTTCTAATTTTTCTTTTTCTTTTTCTTTTTCTAAAATTCTCTCTTTCTATTTTCTGTTTTTCTTTCTGTTCTTTTAATAACCTTAAAGCTTTATTTAATTCATTTTAAGTTTCCTAATTATTTGGATCCTGGTTTAAAATATGCTTGAAAACTATCATGTTAAAGTGGGTGGTTATTATCCACTGTCAATAGCTTATTTCCCTATAATGGCTCTATCTGTTTTATAAGTTACTCTTTTATAAGGACAATTCTTCACGAATCCATGAACCCTTTTATTGACCTTTTACTTGATACCCAGCAAGTATAAAACATAATAATATTATTTAAAAATATTTAAAAATATAACTCTATAAACTAATTTTATAAATTTATTTTTAAATAACATTTAAAGTATAATCATAATAATTTGAAGTTTAATTATTGCCAGTGTTATTTCTCCACATTTATGATTGATTGAATGGTTGTTTATTTTTTTAAAAAAAAATAATTAAAAATTAAAAAAAAATTAAAAAAATATTGGATAAAATTAAAAAAATTAAAAAAATTAAAAAAATTAAAAATAACAAAGGAACAAATAAAAATTAATTCAGAGAATCCATATTTTAAAATTTTTTTGTAATAAAAAAAAAATATTGGTCATTTCAAAACATATGAAATTAAATTTTTATATGGAAAAAATAAAATAAAATAGTTTTAAATATGGTAAAATAAAAAATTAAAAATATAAATCAGGAATTAAAATAATAGTTTAGGGAATTTTTTTTTAAAATAAAATTTATCTTTATTAAATAATTATTTTGTTTATCTAAATAAATTTAAACTATAGATAGATTTATAATTGATAATGTTATGTTTTCTAACTGATTATTGATTATTGGTTTGAAACTTTGAATATTAAAATTGATTTATTTTAAATTAAATTATGGTAAACTGAAAGATTATTATTTTCTTTTTTTAAGAGTAGGACCTGCAGCATTAATATACTTTGGAGGTATTCCTGCATCAAGTTGATCTTTTTCACACTATATTTGTTTTAATTTGTTTTTAATTTGACGAACATAGTTTTAATTTTTTTATCTATAAAAGCTATTGAGTCATATTTCTCTATAAATTTTGTGATCTACATTATTTGATACCTGACCACTATATACTAGGGTAGTCTTTGATACAGGTACCATTTGTTTGAACGATGTATTATGACTATTATGATATTAATATATATGATG